TACTTTTCAATAAACTTGATGCACTCCTAACTCATTCTTAGCATCAACTTCCCAGAGGATCCAACTGGCACCAGAGTTAACCAAAAATGTTCATTCCAATCCAGTTCTTTTATTTTCTCTCCATGCTGCCTTTATAATCCTCCTAGAAAGATTAAAGATTTTATTTCAATGTTGTAATCAGTTTTTATTTCAACCAGTGCAGTAACGTGTGCAACAGATTCATCAATACGTTCAGGAAACCATTAGTTCATAGTACTCTTCTGACTCTTGCTCAGCCTTAAAGTATTTTGCCAGAGCAAATTCAATAACATTGAGGTACGTTACAGATGTCATTGATCTCCTACAAGGTACTGCAAAGAACAGATGCATTGATTCCATCCATGGACGCCAATCTGCATCTGTGTGAGGAGAGACCATGCAGGGAGATGCAGTTTTTTAGACAATTTCAATTCTAACTGCGAAGTGTTTGTTTCAAGAGTTTGGTCTTCATCCATACCTTTACCGTTCTTTTAAAAAAAATGATTAGAATACGAGAGGGAGTTTAGTAAGTTGTGTTTGGGCAGGAAGGGGGTCAAAGAGGAAAGTGAAGTGAATTCCAAGCAAGAGACACCTCCATTGCTAAGAAGACGGGAGGGAGAAAAGCAGATAACAGTAAACTCTGTTCTTTAATTACTTGAACCATCCAGAGGAGTGGCATCATGTGGTCAAAGTGAAGATGAGGATGTTCTCACTGTCTGTTTCTCATGAATTTCCAGACTTTGAAATTCTAGACTCACCCCAGTGGTAGTGTCCTAACACAACTGTGGATTTACCATGAGTGTACAGGGTAGGCATATGCAATGGGATGGGGTTCAGTGATGGTATAGAGTTAGTGCCTATGGCCAGGTGGACCACATCCAATGTGGTTTATAAGGCCTCATGGGGTTCTAAAAAGTGGGTCAAATATTTATGCAAATATTATAATATATTATGACAACCATTTCCTTTGCTTCACAACTCAGGGAGATTGACCAGAACCACACATCTTTAAGTTTTTTATTTTAGTTTCTGTGTAAGCTAGTGACAGCTTCCACATGGGCAGGAGGTGGGGGTGGGGAGCAGGGATGGTAAGTTGGTATCTGTCATGTAAAGGGAAAAACTTCACAGGCAAAACTTCACTTACCTCGGGGGAGTGGGAAGGTCTCTATGAAGGTGATCATACACTTTAAGTGGTTGAAAAGCAGTGTCATTCCCTTCGCTCTCCATATGTCCTAAAGGTAATTCCAGATGCCCAGGTAGAGAAGTGTCTGGGAGGGGTGAATGGGTCATGTTGCTGACATTAATCACTTGCACACTGGTTCCTAGATTTCCCTCGGTCCTGCCCTGACGTGATCTACAGTATCTCCTGGCAACAAGGTGTGTGAAAGCTCAGGTCCTCCTTGGGCATCTTTCTTCTCCAAATGTCAACCTCAGAGAATTATCCTGGAGAAGAAAAAAAATTATCTCCTGTAGCTCCTTTACAACAAAAGCATTTTGTTTTTTTTTTGTTTTGTTTTGTTTTTTACCCATGCATTTTTAAAAGAGAATTGCAATGCTTATGTTTTTTTAAATTTATTTTGGGCAACACAGTTAATGTGTTACATAGTGTGTAAGATGGAGATCATGTATAGATGGAGTTGATGTATACTTGTCTCCCCTACCTCAAAGGATTGTTTGACAAGCCCTCAAGTGGTATGTCATTGCTACTTATTTATCATACCTCATCCATCAGCATTTGTCAACATGTGTTCCATGGAACACTGGTCCTTTGAAAGGCTCATGAAGAAACAGATTTGGTTCCATTTGGTCTTGAGCAATGCCACCCGCCATACCTCAATCTCAGAGATTCACAGTGCATGTTAAGGAATATGAGAGGTCCTACAGTCAAGAAACCTGTTCAACTTTTTTTAAAAACTATTTCCTAAACACTTTTAATGATGGAATCCTTTCTGTAGGTGTGTGACATTTGTTAACATCCCCATAGCCATGTGCTGGGGACATACAGTCAAATGATTAAGAGCCTACATATTTAATGTTTGGGTTTGAATCCCAGCAGTGACATCCATTGACTGTGTGACCTTGGGCAAGGTTATTATCCTCTTTGTTCCTCAGATTCCTCATCTGAAAAATGGGAATAGTGATAATACTGCATTTGTTTGCTGTGAGGTTCAAATAAGTTCATGTATTTAAAGTGCTTAGTAGAATCCCTGACATATGGCAAGAATTTCATGATGTTTCCTGTTATCACTGTTGACTTTTCTCTCTGTATCTCTGAAAATAACTTTGGTTTAATAATAACAATAAATATGAAGTGTGTAATCTTATGGTTGACAGACTTTCCCGTATAAGTCTACCTAATCTTCAAATCAATCTTAATAAATAGGCATTATTGTTATACCCATTTTACTAATTAGGAAAGAGAGGCCAAGAAATCTGAGTATACTTCACGAATGGACAGTAAAGGGGAGAACCAGAATCAAATATGTGTCTTTTGACATCAGATCTTGTGCTTTTTCTTCCTAATATATTTGGTTTTTCTGTGGTTCCAAATTAAAATGTGAAACCTGTCTACTTCTAGTAGCTGAAAAGGTTTGCCTTTCAAAGGGCATATAACTTAAACCCAAGATTAAAAATAGAAGTTAGAAATTAAAGACATTACAATGGATGAAATTTAAGCAAAGCAAGTAACTCAGGGCCTTTTAAGTAATAAAGTCCCTGGACTAGTATTGTAGACGAATGAACACACATGGGGTATAAATACATTTGCTATGTTATAAACTAGAAATCAGTACATATAATCTGACCAAGGATCTTTATACTTTTGTCACATGCAAGAGGAAATTCTAGGTGTTGAAATACTGAATTTCTACGAGAGTTTGATAGTTATAGGGAAAATCAAACTCATTATTGAGATCTGGATTTGAGTTAAAGAGAAATTATTGGTCCTTATTTTAGCCCAATGTATGATCTCCTTCAGCCACCGACAATCTGAAATTCAGAAAAATCCTGCTTTGGCGCTTAATGTTTCCTAAAAATGCAGTTGGTGTATTAGCCCGGTTGGTCCGTGGGCCCTCATGATGCTATCATTCTTGAGTCATCTTTGGGTCTCTGACTAACACTGAAATAATTGGGTGATCTTTAAAGAATATTTTAGGGGATGGTGTCAAGGCTCCATGACAAACTTATCAAAATGTTTTATTTCTTTTTTTTAAGTGGAAATAACAGAGGGTGGGGGTAGGATCATAATCTCACTGATTTGCAATTGATCAAACGAAGACAATCTCATCATAAGTTCAACTTCTGGTCAAAAGAGTTAAGAAAACAAAGTAAAACACTTGTGTGGAGGAGTGTGTAAGAAGAAGGGAAAACATTTCATTCTGCCCAAATCACAACAGTCCAGTAATGTGCCCAGGCTGATCCTACTTGATAAATGAAAAGCCACATAATCCTTTCCATTAGGTCACTATCACTTGATTTTAGTACCCCATATTTCCCCCAAAAGTTTATCTTGCCATATGAACTACTTTGTTGCTTTTAATTCAAAAATGGGATCTATTTCTCATTTTGCTTTGCCTGCCAGGGAGCTTAGAGCTTAGGGCTAAACTTAGTGCTGAATCATAGTCATGATTTCATGTATCTGAAATTTGATGAGTCTCACCTCCTTTGTAGCCATGATTGCTGGTATTAATTTCTCTCTATATAAATTTGGGTATTCCTGTGCTGATACTTTACGTCCTTTTTTGCATGTCTCTTAGAAATTAGGATGAAGTGAAGGAAAGCATTTAAGAGAAGTTTTCAACAATGAGCACTGGAAAATTAAAAAGTCTTTCTTCATTAGGGGCACCTGGGTGGCTCAGTTGGTTGAACATCTAACTCTTTTTTTTTTTTTTTAAACATTTTTTTTTTCAACGTTTATTTATTTTTGGGACAGAGAGAGACAGATCATGAACGGGGAAGGGGCAGAGAGAGAGGGAGACACAGAATCGGAAACAGGCTCCAGGCTCCGAGCCATCAGCCCAGAGCCCGACGTGGGGCTCGAACTCACGGAATGCGAGATCGTGACCTGGCTGAAGTCGGACGCTTAACCGACTGCGCCACCCAGGCGCCCCGATCATCTAACTCTTGATTTCAGCTCGGGTCATGATCTCATGGTAAGTGAGTTCAAGCCCCATGTTGGGCCCTGCTCTGACAGTGCAGAGCCTGTTTGGGATTCTCTCTCCCTTTCTCTCTGCTCCTCCCACTCACTCTCTCTCTCTCTCTCTCTCTCTCTCTCTCTTTCTCAAAAAGAAATAAACAAATTTTTTTAAAGTTTTTTTTTTAATGTTTATTGTATTTTTGAGAGAGAGAGATAGAGATCGCGAACAAGTGGGTGAGGAGTAGAGAGAAAGAGAGAGGGAGACACAGAATCCGTAGCAGTGTCCAGGCTCTGAGCCATCAGCACAGAGCCCGGCATGGGGCTCGAACTCACAAACCGTGAGTTCATGACCTGAGCCCAAGTCGGCGCTTAATTGACTGCACTACCTGGGCACCCCTAAACATAATTTTTGTTTTTACTCTTTATTCATTAGCACTCAATTAACCAGAGTTCCCCTAATTCAGACATTTTATTTAATAATACTGTTAGTATAATAATTATACTTAAAGATAACCTTTGGGAGAAAACGGGAAAATATGTTCAGGTGGAAAAGAGAAGGTAGAAAGACAAAACCCAATCAATACCTATGATTTATGAAAGGTTCAAAGGAAATGGCTGTCACTATTAAGATAAACATTTTGCAAAGTAGAGAAAGTCTATTACCTCCACCCATCCAAGAGCAGCCAAAGAGACAAAGAAAACTGAAAGTTGAATTTGGGGGAAAGGTACCTACATCGCAAAGTTTCACTCAAGTCTCCATTCCTAGTTCAAGTTTTTTGAGACCTTTTACCTGACCATAAGATCTTTGCACTTCCTGGTCCTTTAAAAATGTTTCTCTTTTCTCCAGGGTAGCAGAAAGGAAATTCCTAGGACATGTCACATTTCACAGGAGAGAGAGATTCCATTTCCACTGCAATTCAGAATGGAAGCAAGTCTGGCCTCATTCTTTATCTGGGAACCTCCGTAACCGTCCCTTCCAACAACGCTGAGGTTTGATGGCAAGGAGACTGTTAGCAACAGAAAAAGGTGAAACAGGGAAAATGAATAACTGAGTGGCCCTTTTCCGGCTCCCCGGGAAGGGCTAACACAATTGCTCCTGGTACTTCTTCGGGCATCTCCTAATGCCTGTGGTCTTGTGGTGCTACGGTTTTGTTGTTGTTTTATATGGGATCTCAGTTTGCAGACTTGCATCTTTCTGAAGACCAGTAACTGTTTATTTATAAGCCTCAAACAGCTATTAAGTGGGCATGTGGAGGCAAATGGAATTGCTGCTGAATGCACAAAGTAAATTGATTTGTACCTGCAATTTACATTTATTCTCGGGGTATATTTGACACTAATGTTGTGAGTGAACTACCATGATGAAGATTAATTACGTAAACATTTTCTGCTGACTTTGTGAGCAGCCAAGTTGGTTGTTTTACTTGATTTTCTAAGCTTGGCGCCTAGTAGCAAGATGGCAGACATTTCTTGGTTTTGCCCTGCACCTTCATAGACTAAGTATCCCAGACCAGTCTTACCGAATAAGTGCTGGGGGAGAGTTTTTGCTAGCGACAGCATTCCAGCTTCCTTGATTGGGAAGGAAGAAGTAAAACACTGCTTAGCTCTTGGAATTTTGCAAACATCTGGATTTGGGCAGGATTCCCCAGAATAAAATAAGAATTGTGCTTCTCAAAGGGGTATAAATGTGCTACATGCACAAGAAAGGTCAATTTGTTTAGTTTTTCTTGTTCAACCAATATTAGCCTAGACCCCAAGCACCTTGAGCTGAAGAGAGTTAAGCAGTCAGAGGCTCTACTCTTCTCCTTTGGGAAATGGAGATAATCACAGTACCTCCCTGCCCTTTATGGACGACTCACAGTGGTGTCCGTGGGGTACCTCCTAAAGATGCAGTTTAGAGGCCCAACTCATGTCACACAAAATCAGAATCATCGTGATAGAACCTGAGTGTCTCCAGCTCTGGTTTAGCAAGGTTGTCCCTTGAGATTATGGGGAAATCCTGAGGGCTTTGCATGGTCCCAACAATTACTAGAAAGGCCTCGAACTGCCAGCACATCATGGTCACTGCTGTAGGACTCGCTGGCCGGGCCCATGTGTACCTTCCAAGAGGGCAGATACTTTTGTGAAAGGCTCGGGTGGGAGTTCTTTGCCGCAGTTCTAAAAATGCACAGCGGCTCCACCCGAAGGCTTGTTCTTGGGAGTGAAGGTGTGCCCCCCGCGATCCCTCTGGAAACCCCCCATCACCTTGTCTCCCTGAGCATCCATGCTCAAATAAAGCCCATGCATTTAGGTTGGCCTTTAACTGCTGTCTTCACCTCTGAAAAACCGACTTAGGCTTAGCTCCTGAAGCAAGAAAGCCCAGATTTGACAAAGCCTTATAACCTTTTTGTGCCAGGCCTAGAGAAAAATAACCCTTGTTTTTCCACATCCCATAATCGAGGCAAAAGAGACAACAAGACATTATTTTCAGAAATTTTCCTGCCTCCCTCACATTTGAGTTCACCTTCCTAATGTGTTGTTGACGCATTCATCAGAGTCCTGGAAACCCAGGACAAAGATGTGCACAGGGGAAACCACAGGAATACTCTCGTACCCCATAGTTCTCGTTAGCAGGGAACAGGTCCCACCCAGTGTCCTGAGTAAGCACGGGGAGATCATTTATGGGGACATGAAGACAAAGCAGCTAGGTGGAAAGGGATGTTCACCTCCATTTCATTGATGAATGCCGCAGGGAGGAGCCGGGGGAAATCAGTGCCCTGACCTGGCTGTTTCTCGTGCCTCATTGTTCACACCGGGAACCAGGAAAGGCAGGGGAACCATCTGATGGGGCCCATGCTGGCTAATCTCAGGGCAGGGAGCAGAGGAGATTGGATAATGCATGAGGGAGCAAATGGAAGATGCCCAGCACACCTTCTTTCCATTAGGCTCTTTTTTCTTCTTACCTGACATTCCCTGGGTACTGATCATAGACATTCACCGATACCAGAACTGTTCTAGGAGTTTTATATACATCATCCGGTTGAATCCTCACGACAGAGCTGTGGGTTAGACGCGATTATTTTAGAGGTGAAAAATCAGAGGCTCAGAGAGCTTCCACGCCCTCTTTTTATTTCCAAGGTCATTTCATAATCAGGACGCCAACTTTACCTGTGGAACTGACAGCAGTATTTTCACCTGTGTTTGCAAAGAGGCGACATGGCTGATCTTCCAGGCCTACCCTCTATTTGCTGAGAGACACTTCCTTTCATCAGCCGTCATTAGGGAAGCTCAAACTGAGCAGGCAGTGATGCTGTGCTGTCTCTCTTCAGCCCTTACTTGTTTTATTTACATATTTATTTCTTAGCTTGTAGACTTTTTTGAGAGTATAACGTGCTTGCAGAAAAGTACTCAAATTTAAGCGCATGGCCTGAAGATTTTCACAAAGTAATTCACTGTATAACCAGTACCCAGGCCAGGAAACAGGACATTCCCCATCCTAAGAGCCCTGGCCTTTCCCCTGGTACCTAGTCCTCTGTCCCTACCACCCTGCTTTCAAACCATCATATGGTACTCTTGTCTTTAGTCCTCGATGGGATTCAACAAGGAGATAAAAATTCTTATTTTTTATTTAATGTAGATTTATTAATGATTTCTTGCACTGGGTCAGGTGGCAGCAAATGGCCCATAGACCAAATACAGCCCACCATCTATTTTTGTAAATAAATTTGTAGCGGAACACGGCCATGCCCATTTGTTTACATATTATCTTTGGCCACTTTCAAGCTATAGCAGTAGAGTTGAATAACCCCAAAAGAGGCCTTATCGTCCCCAAAGCCAAAAGTATTTACTATACTTTTATAGTATATACTATATACTATATACTATATACTATATATATATATAATATAATAGTAT